ATGGTGGCATTTTGAGAAACTGGGCTCTGGTGCAGCAGAGAGAGTAAATCCAGCCCTGGAAATACAGCTGAGTCAGTAATAGAGAAGGATCCGGGTATCCTTTCTAAAGGTCATTTTCAAACATAGCACTTAAGAGGTAGTTAAAGGAGAACTATGAGGTGAGTGCTTTTCACTCACCTCATAGTTCTAGCAAACCTGTGACAATGAAACTGTCACAGGTCGGCTCAGTAGATCGGGAGGTGAGCGAACACATACCGGCGTTCGCTCACCTCTCGATCCTGTCACGGCTCTCTGCCGTGACAGGGTAGGGGCTGGATTCCCCCCTCCCCGCTCCGATCCCCCAGCGCTGACTGGCGGTTTGGAGCAGGGAGGGGGTGGGTACAGATAGGCAGAGATAGGCAGAGCCAGCAGTCAGTCACGCAGCTGGGCGGATCCAGACATAATTGTCGGGATCCGCTTCAGCTGCGGCGTCTTAGTATACCGCGAGCAGCAGCTTGCGGTATACTGCGGCGTCTCAGTATACCGCCAGCTACAGCTGGCGGTATACTGAGCCTAGAGTTGGCGGGAGGACGCTAGTTTGTGCCCTCCCGTTACCCTAAGGAGAACTATGGGGAAAAGCCTTAACCCCATAGTTCTCCTTTAAGGCTTCACAGTGCGTGTTTATTCATCATCGTCACATCAAACACAAAGTGAGAACGTTGCCAGCGCAATCTGATACACAATGAAACCTTCAGTCTCCTTGCTAGCTGTGAGACAGTTTGAAAGAAAGACAAAATATCCTATATGAACAATTTTTATGGCTTTTGATGTAGTTCCTTTTTGGGCACTGGTTCACAAAAAGTATGCCATTCAACTAAAAAAGGCAACTATTATTAAAGGGCATAGAAGACATTGGCTTAACCCCTTCATGACTGAGGCCCTTTTTTCCATTTTTGCACCAAAGAGTTGTTTCTGAAGATGCAATTGAAGCTTACTTGAAAACATCCCTTTTATGTAGTGAGTGCTGCCTTTCATCTGCCCGTCACTTTCCACAACTTCCCGGATTCCCAGTGTGCTTTGCTTCTCTTTCCATGCTGCTTGATGTGATACAATCTCCATTTCTCAAGACCACATATCCCATCATGCATTGCTTCCAGAAAGCAATGACAATGCTACATTGTGGGAAGCTCAGATGGCAGGCTCTATGAGAGGGGTGACACAGGGAACTGCATATGCACAGGGCAGAGTGAAGTTGTGTCAGTGCAATGAGGAAGTTCATCCTATGGACATCTTTAATAAGTATGTTTACATACTCCTAGATTGATATGGTTATTAGGAGTGGTATAAAACTTATGAAAAATCAATATAGAAATTAAGATTTATTTCTTGTTTTGACAATATATTCACTTTAAAAGCCTTATTTTGTGCAGTAAAAAGTATACAAATTGCCCCCTCTAATAATTAAAATGATCACCGCCCCAGCTGATGATGAATATATTTCACAGCACTCATACATCCTCATGTACAATGTAGGGCCAGCAACCAAGTTATCAGGATAGAATGTGGCTGCTGGGCCTGCACTTAGGGGGCCAGTCATCACGAAAACTGGCAGGAAGAAAAGCAGATCCCCAAGGCCATCCCCAAGAAAATGAGCGATGTAGTCGCCAGGAGCTTGGAAGGGGGGTGGGGCTTAGTATTTAAGCCTGACTCCAGACTATTTTTTATCTGCCCCAACCCCCATCCATTGTTTAAAAAAAAAAAAGGTAGCTCTGGCTGCAATTCTCGTTAACCACTTGCCGTCCGCCCGTTGTAAAAAAACGGACGGACGGCACTGCAGCATTGGCGGGTTGTCGTCTCCAGACGGCATTTTTTTTCTGCTCACGCGCGCCGCCTAGCGGGCACGCACGGGCAGAAAAGACCCAACCAATGCAAACACCCGATTGGTTAATCCAGCTGTCCCCTGCAGTAGCTCTTCTTCACCATTAGATGTCCTAAGTCTCCTGGGTTGAACTACACCCAATGTCACTCAATTCAGAAGAAAGCTAATGAAATATAGGCATGTAAAAATTCGGTTACAATATTTTGCTATTTCTGGATTCGGGTCTGAAATTCAATTTGGTTTGGGGTTTCGCATTCGGATGAAATCAGAATTTTCGTTAGTTTCAGATAAATTTACGAACAAATATTAGTTACGACTACCACAGAAAATCATATACAGATATTAATACTTAAGCTGAATCTCATAGACCCGAATGGCATTCGGGATCAGAATTTGCCATTCGGACCGGGTTTAGTAATATATGTATATGGCTTCCAGACCCAAAATGGCATTCAGGAGCTCCTGAATGCTATTCGGAAATTCGGATCCCGAATGCCATTCGGGTTTAGGAGATTCAGCTTTAGGGTTATACGTATTGTGGGATTTAGCTTCCAATGGTAGCACATTAAGGATGGAGTCCACTCGCTTACCACGTCTTTTTAAGGGCTTCTTTGCCCACTTTTATTATTTCAAACATAAAAGTCCACACAGGTGCTTCCCTCGCAGGGGTCTGCAAACACAGAACAGCAAAATAATGTTCTCACCGACTTCAGGTTATCACAAGAAAACCTCTCCCAAACAGGCTGCATCCCACAGACTTGCCACACAGGCTGGATTTCCCGCGATTCTCGTACGATAATCGTACAGTGTATGGGCACCTTTAGCCAGCACCCTTCCCATAAGTGCTATGCACAGGTGTGCAATTAGGTGCTGGCAACTATTAAACAATGGACCCAGGAATGGAGATTTCATCCCTCCCAATTCTCTTAGAAATCTCCCAGTTCCAGGATCCCATGACAAATCCAGAAATCCTGGGAAGAGCTGCAAAGTCAGCTCTTTCCCAGTGCAAGAACTTGCCTCATGGAACCGCTCAGCCCCTCTGGCTGAGAGTCCTGGGTGTCTGCGTTGCCAGCATCTTGCACGGCAGTGCGACGCACTGCCACAGTATACACACATCTGGCCAGAAAAGTCATATGTCCGATACAGTTTAGTTTTTGAACGAAATTCGGACGGGATCCAGAATTCGGAAATGGAAATTCGGATTCGGACACATTTGGATGCATCGGTATTCGGAAATCTGGATGTGTCCGAGTGTCCAAATCTGGAAAATTCGTACACATTTGTATACGAAATGTTGATTCGGAACAAAACAAAATCGCACATGCCTAATGAAATAGTTCATAGTAGAAAAAACTCAGTCATGTTCATTCAGTTACTGTTGAAGCAGAAAAGTTTATGAATTTATTTGAACCAGCCAGTCCCAGTATAACAGGCTGCTTACATGCACTAAAACGTCAAACATCCATTTAAAGGTAACCTGATTTTTTTCTCCAGACTATCTACTTGAATGGAATTCCACATGTATTAAATAGGATTCTTTTATTACTAAGGGCTTGTTCCCACCGAAAGCGTGTGCGTTCTCCCCGCGTTTTGGGGCGGGAGGGGGCATGGTGGTGCATTGAATTCAATAGCACCGCTTCGATGCCCCCCGCCCGCAGTGCGATCGAACGCGTGGCAAAACGTTGCCGTTGTTGCGTTCCACTGCAAACGTAAGAAATAGAGCAAGCCCTATTTTTTGCGTTTGCAGTGGAACGCAACGCTGGCAAAGTTTTGCCACACGT